TTTTTTTTTTTTCAATTGTTCTGCTCAAATACTTATTTTATGCTATAATATTTTCTAAATATCAATCAAAATTGAGAATAGTTTTCCTTTAAAGTTCTTATTCGTCAAAAAATTTTTCGTATTATTTTTTTAACATAATTTCTTTTTCTACGTAATATAAAATGCAGTCCGTTTCAATGCACCGCCCAGTACGCCATTATCATCTACCGGCGCAAGTGGTCTTATATCACACAGGTTGATCCCCAAGAGTTTCGATCCGCGCGAATAACGACGACGAGAATCGCGCTTATCTGAAATTCTGACGCTCGTTCATGATCGAATATTCATCCTTGGCTTCCCCTGGGAGGCGAAGGGAGGCGGTATAAGAAAGCAAAAGAGAAGAAAACGAGACGAGGGGGAGAGTATACGGTTGGAGAAGGAAAGAAGAAAGAGACCAACCAAAATGAGAGTCGAAGCAGTGCGTTGAACCATGCCGGAGAGGAGACCAGAAGAGCCACCACAGCGATGAAGAATGGATGCTGGTTTAGCAAGAGTGCAGATTTGCTCGAGTCGGGTGCAATGGCCCCCTTTGCTTTCGTGTCCATCTTCTCGTTGCTATAGCTACGCCGTCTAATACCTCCCACCATCTACAAACGGGCTGTTCATCCATTTTCTTTTTGTTCGAAATTCATAAGAAGAGAGAATGTCCATCATCCATTTTGGTGTATGTGGGATCGTTCCTCTGATCATATTCCCTGATACTGTGGATTTATCATCACTAATATATAGCGCCGCGAAAATTAACGAATGTCTTACTACATAATAAAATGACGAATATTTAAGACGATTCTCTTTCAAAGCGAAGCAATAGCAATATATTTGAAGAGTCTGTTTAACTCGAAAACGATTTAACACTTGCCTCGTTACACGAAGATTGTTATACGTTTTGTGTACATTCTTCTTATTCTATGGGATGAGCATCATAGGAGAGTTTGTAACGCAGGTGGATGTTGTTTTGATGCAAGGAATAGTGCGAAGGAAAAAAAAAAAGAGAGAGAAAGAAACTCGTAATAATCATGAAGCCATCAGGTAACTGTCGTCGGTAGCTACAGTGTCCGGTTTTGTGAGAACAACCTTGGTCATTAAATAAACCCCTTTTAGTGGTTGGCTGGTTATCTTCAATGGTGTTTTAAAAGGGGCATTTAGGCCCATTTTGGCTACCCACACAGCCCCTGACACCCTTCCCCTTCTTCTGCGTTATGGTGGCTCTCTTCACGCCCCCACCATATTCGACACGCGTCCTACCATGCTATAAGCTTAAAGGCCCTGACTTTTACGATTCTGTTCAAGTGGTCATAAAACCGGAGTTTATTGCCGTCATGATTTTCAAGCAAACGGGCTGCCACCTGTCGGAGTCCCACAAAAGCGAAAACTGCATCAAGTCTCTTCATCAGGAGGCTCTATCAATTCGGATATTTGATGATTGCCCCGACAGCTCATAATAGCCTTTGAAATACTAATCGTTACCATGGAAATCGTTCACGGTAGCGTTTTCCGATTTCAATTTATTATTTTTATCGAATAATTAATATTTCTTTTTTGACGTTTAAACATACTAATTTAAATATCGAAACTTAATTTATATGAATCGTTTTAAATTAAAATGCTTTTAGATTATGCACGTACGCCATTATTTATCTTTATACTTATTAAGATTGCATCAAGTAAGATAGGTTCCAAAGAGGAGAATTTAAACTTGATTGCGAATGTGGATTGATGGCATCGTAAATAGTTGCGAAAGTTGACATTATCGCGATAGTAGACGTAATTTTAAAACAGAAAACGTATCCGAATAATTATTCATAGACTGAGTCATTCGGTGAATCGTAAAAATCAAAACCTTTTTCCGAGATATATGGCGAAATAGGTGGGTTATATCCTAACATTCATAATGGCGAAAGTGAACGAGCAAATAGTCCGGGTCCGGCCCCTGAGAGCAGCTTATGATGGGCATTACTCGGCTCGTTACGGAATAATTTACGAGGTGCGAACCGCGGGGGCGATAATCCAGCGACATTTACATCCCAATAAACATTCCCGATACTGGTGGCGGCGCGCGCCACGGCGCTTGCCCACTTCCCTCCCGAACCTCACTTTTACGGCGTTTTAATTGTAGTCTAATTGGTTCGTAAAACGTCCAAGTATCTCGTAAAAGACGTTTATGATAACGTTCTTGTCGTTCGTACTGGCAATCGCGTCATCATTGAATCCACAGATAGACTGGAAACATCAGACCGGTTGAACCTGAATCTCGAATCGTATATAGACGGGGAGATACGGTATTCCCAAATTGGCCAAATATTTACAATCTTTCTTTTCTTATTCGTCTTTTTTTACCTTCATTTCGTTCGATCGCGTGACGATCAAACGTTTCCACGTAAGAGTCGATTCGCAAAGACCGTTTTCGACAATAACGATAATCGCAAGGTGCCTTGGTTGATGTTGGTCGTTTGAACGTCTGAATGGATCTGGCAGCGTTAGTTCGCGACGAAATACAGAGGTGGCAGTGCACGTATCCCCACGAGCTGTGGGGGCGCGGAGACGGTGAGGGGGACGAG